CCTTTCTTCTCCCTCTTCTATTCTTTTTTTCCCTGCTTTTTCCCTGTTTCCCCTCTCTCTTCATCTCTTCTCTCTTTACCCTCGCCTTCCCTGCCTCTCACATAACCTGCCTTCCTTTATCATGTCCTGCCTGCCTTGCCTGCCTTACCTTGCCTTGCCTTGCCTGGCCTGCCTGGCCTACCTGGCCTGCCTACCTGGCCTGCCTGCCTGGCCTGCCTGCCTGCCTGGCCTGCCTGCGGGAAACAAGATCGCTTACCTTGCCAAGGTAATGGAGGGCAGAAATACTGTTAGGTGTGACCTTGTGTTGGCAACACTTCTTGCAATCACTACCATTGATGAAATAATTATATATTGTAAGGTCCCAGCAGGGTGGCTCATTCTGTATCAAAATACACAGTACTTTAGCCACACAGTCTGTAAGGCTAAAGTACTGTGCCACTCTGCATCAAAGTAATGTGTACTCTGATGCAGTGTGTGTAGGTTCGAATCCTGTTGTGGACGGAGACAATGTGTGTAAATTCTCCCATTTGCGAATTGTTACGCGCATGCATGCATGCATATATATATATATATATATATATATATATATATATATATATATATATATATATATATATATATATATATATATATATATATAATATATTATAATAATCATTTACCCAACTGCGGCAGGCCAGGACTCGACCCTACGAAGCTTGCACCGCCTCCAGAGACAGAATGCACGCATCACCTTACCACGACGCCACTGATCCTAGGATCAGTGGCGTCGTGGTAAGGTGATGCGTGCATTCTGTCTCTGGAGGCGGTGCAAACTTCGTAGGGTCGAGTCCTGGCCTGCCGCAGTTTGGTAAATGATTTAAAATAACTTGTTTCGTGATTTCTTTGATTATATATATATATATATATATATATATATATATATATATATATATATATATATATATATATATATATAATATTAGACAAGTTAATAATTTAATAAGAAACAAACACAATGAACTATATTCTTTTCGTTAAGTTCAGAATGATTTTTGAGAAATAATTGCATTCACAAATTTTAGCTTGCCTTATTCGGCAAGAAGAGCGTTGCTATTTAAGCCAAAATAGCAAGTTTTACCTATTCGGAACGATATATATATATATATATATATATATATATATATATATATATATATATATATATATATATATATAATTGATATTACACACACACACACACTACTAATTATCTGGAGAGTGAGATCGACTGCTAACTTCACTAATGCTTATCTTTATTGATTTTTACATGCAGATAATTATACAGTGTTAATATAAGCCAGAAACTGTAGTATCTTAATTGGTAGAATTTCACTAAATGAGCCTAAAACTTTTTTTTTTTTTTTTTTTTTTAGATATCTTTGTGGTGTTCACTTATAACAAACCTTAACACCAGGATGAGTTAGATACCTAGGGGGGGGTTTCGGGGGTCAACACCCCCGTGGTGCGGTCCATGACCAGGACTCATGGTAGATCAGGACCTGATCAACCAGGCTGTTACTGGTGGCCGCACGTTAACCGACGTACGAGAGACAGCCTGGCTGGTCAGGTACTGACTTCAACTGCCTGTGCAACGTCTGGGTATCACTATTTTGTAGATGTTTCGCCAACCAGTGGTTTTATCAAACCAATGAAGACCGGAGAGGTAGAGCGGGTCCCACTTATACAGCACGTCGCTGCCATAAAGAAACAATCGCCGTAAAGTGAATCATATATTTTTTTCTTCACCTTCAATTATAAAAACCTGATATATTAAGTGAGCAATATTGCTAGGCCTGAAAAATGTATATACAGTACACATTACTTCAAATATATTCGTCCTTAGCTTATAGTGAGTGGTGTATATATTGTATGAAGTCTGAATAAATGAAGAAGGGGTGTAATTGAAAACCGCTGTATTAGCGAAACGCTGTAAAGTGAGGCGCTGTAAAGTGGGACCCTGCAATTACTTCCTCAACCTAATAAGTGTCAGCACCGTAGTCTTGGTGTTACACCCGTGTCTAATTCATCATTTTGTCGGTATATACAAAATAGTTATAATCATAGCCATAATTTTTAAAGGGGTGGAAGGGTAAGCCAGAGGAAGTCCTCGGTCAGATGACCAAAAGTTCAAGCTGTGTGTCGTCATATGGCTAATACCCGCGTCAAAAAACACTTCTCCTATTTCCTGACTAAGCTTACCTAACCTAACTTTCTGGCTTAAAATGAGTTTGTAACTTACGGCTAGCCAGGAGGGAAGGGCAGTGTAGACCAAAGATGTGTTGGAAGGGAGGCGAGAGGTCGAGGTTAGGCCGGAGAAACGTAGGAACGTTGGAAACGTTAGTAGGAAGGTAGAGACGTTGATGAGGCCGTGGGAGCGTAGGTAGGAGCGTTGGTATGAGCGTGGGAACGTTGGTATGAGCGTGGAAAACGTTATTAGGCGCTTAGAAAAGCGTTAGCAGTGGCGAGGGGAAAGCGTTGGTTAGGAGTCTGGTACATAATTAAGGGGATGGGAAAAATAGCTTAGACCGTGGGAACGTAAACAAGTGTGTGAGAGAGAGAGAGAGAGAGAGAGAGAGAGAGAGAGATAGCTAGCTATCTAGCTAGCTAGCTAGCTACAGAAAGAGAGAGATACAGAAAGAGATTGTCAAGCATACAGACGACAGACAGCTTCCGGAGGCTGGCTGACCTTTGACCTGCTTTCACTCCTCGACATATTATTTTAACCTGTGACTGCCATACTTTCTCACTTTTCTTTTAATCTATACCTTACACGCTGCTGTTTATCCTTCATTAGGTATTCCTTGTTGGGATACCTTCTTTTGTTCTTATTTTTCGTCCGCGATTCTACCCGATTCCGTACGTGATTTTGCGCCTGGTTTCTTACATGATTCTATACTGGGGTAAGGTGGCCCGTGTCCTGGTAGGCAACTCTCTCACCTCGCACACTGAGTGTCGGTGGTTCGATACCCGTTACGGGTGGAAACATTGGGCGTGTTTCCTTACACCTGCTGTCCCGTTCAACTAGCAAGCAAGTAGATACCTGGGTCTTAGTATTCTGGTGTGGGTGGCATCCTGGGGCACAAGATTTAATAAGGACCGCAATGGAAATCAGTTAGTCCTCGATGACGCACTGACTTTGGTTATCCTGGGTGGCTAACCCTCCAGGGTTAAAAATCCTAAGAAAACCTTCTCTTAGATGTGTGATTCTATTCTTGGTAAGGTTTGTAATTATAGAATGGTAAGATACATAATTCTGTTGCTTTTGCTGCTGCAGCTACTGTTGCTGCTGTTACTGTTAATGTTGCTGTTATTGTTGCTACTGTTACTGTTAATTGTGCTGCTGTTGCTGCTGTTACTGTTAATGCTGCTGCTGTTGCTGCTTTACTGTTGCTGTTGCTGCTGGTACTGTTAATGATGCTGCAGCTGAAGCTACTGTTGCTGCTACTGTTATTGATGCTGCTAAAGCTACTGTTGCTGTTACTGTTAATGCTGCTGCTAAACTGCTGTTATTGATAATGCTACTGCAGCTATTGTTAATGATGCTGTTGCAGCTGCTGGTACTGATGTTACTGTTAATGCTACTGAAGCTACTGTTGCTGTTAATGCTGCTGCTAAAGCTACTGTTAATGTTGTTAATGCTGCTGCTAACGCTACTGTTGCTGTTACTGTTATTGGTGCTGCTGTTGCAGCTGCTGGTACTGATGTTACTGTTAATGCTACTGAAGCTACTGTTGCTGTTAATGCTGCTGCTAAAGCTACTGTTGTTAATGTTAATGCTGCTGCTAACGCTACTGTTGCTGTTACTGTTATTGGTGCTGCAGCTGCTGCTAATGGTGCTGCTGCAGCTGCCACTACAACCTCACCATGCATCGTTCCATAAGCTCCGTCATCTTAAAGAATTATTGTTAAGGGTCAGGTTCCCCTGTCGTACCTAAGCTCTTCCCCATGTGTTCCATTATGCTTCCTACCTAGAGAGGCTTATCTACCCTAATTAGGACATGGTAAACACCACTTAGACTTAATTAGGTTCTTGATAACAGTTTGTTTAGTTATCTTGTTCTAGACGTCACTATATAGTGATCTTGTTCTAGACATCACTATATAGTGATCTTGTTCTAGACGTCACTATATAGTGATCTTGTTCTAGACGTCACTATATAGTGATCTTGTTCTAGACGTCACTATATAGCGATCTTGTTCTAGACGTCACTATATAGTGATCTTGTTCTAGACGTCACTATATAGTGATCTTATTGACGTCATTACATTCAAAAATAATTTTGAACAAAAATAATGTGTCAATACAGAGATGGGAAATACACGAAACATAATTCAGGAGTTTTACACATAAGATTGATTTATAAAATACAAAACTTGTATTGATCAAAGAAGTAATTAGCAGATAATAAGGCTACATAGCATTTAAATAAAAAAATGTTAGGTAAATTTACACAATTATGACCACAACTATGAGTAACTCAAGAATTTTTCGGTATATTTGTAAAGACCAGATTAAGAGTAAAATTGTTGAAATGTTAATATCTGCCCAGATTATTAAAAAAAATAATATACCATGTTTTAACGAAAGGCATAAAAATAATCCCGCTGTTTTAGGTATAAGATTAAAAAATATATGGAATTCTCTTTTGGTCAGTGATTTAAAGTAGGTAGCTTAGAAAGACACATTGTTTGAGGCACGTAAGTTCCTCCGTCTTCTAATAACATGTTTATTAGAAGAACGGGAAACTTGGGTGCCACTGAAAAATATTAAAATACATGTAACTAGGCAGATGGTAGTAGCATTGGTATTGGTAGTGGTAATGGGGGGGCTGGTAAGCAGAGATAACATTAACAAACATTATAAATAACTACTTTAAAAAGCTCCTGGAGAGCGAAACGATGCCACAATAAAAATGTCGAATTAGTTGCACTTGTCGTTTTACCTAACATTATAAGATTTCTCTTTTCTCTCCTCACAGGGGCTTCGGAAAGCAGGGATACCAGTGCCAGAGTAAGTGTTGACCACCCGCAGTCTTTCTTGTATTTAATAATAATAATAATAATAATAATAATAATAATAATAATAATAATAATATGCATTTTGGTCGCTGCTCTATCGGAGAAAGTCGTAACGGTAATATCCTTGCTAATGATACCAGAATCTCAGAGTGGCGTCCGTCGAAGACAGCGAATCCTCAGGCATATATAGTCTTCCAATGGACCTTAGTCGCTATGGAAGCATGGGTGAAATAAAGACTGTAATAGAGTACAGGATAAACTTAAATGGTTCGTTAGAGCGGAAGTATCATGTGCGAGACTTAGAAGTAATAATGTCGGAAGATCTCACATTCAAGGATAACAACAGTGTTGTTATTGCCACATCTAGGAAGATGATAGACTGGATAACTAGAACTTTCGAGAGATGCTGAGCCAATGATAAGTCACTTATCCTCTCCAAGTTAGAATACTGCTGTATACTGACGGACAGCTTCAAGACAGGCGAGATTGCTGAGCTGGGTAACGTACAGAGAACTTTCACTTCTAGTATATACTTGGAAATGCTTTTAGTTCTTCAGCTGTATTCCTTGGAACGTAGGCGAGAACGGTACACAATAATTTACACCTGGAAAATCCTAGAGGGACTGGTCCCTAACCTGAATATTGAAATGGCTCTTATGACCCCAAGAGACTTGACAGGTATAAAATACCTCCACTAAAAAGCAGGTGCGCGACGAGTACACAGAGATCGATGAGTGTCAGAGGTCCCCGACTTTTCAACGCTCTCCCACCGTGCATAAGGGGAACTACCATCAAACCTGTGGTTGTCTTCAAGATGGAACTGTCAAATTGTTGAAATTAGTGACACCAGCCAGGCTGTAGTTCGTACGTTGGACTCCATACAATTAGAAGTAACAGTCTGGAACCAGACCGCGGGGGCGTCCTTCAGGCACCCGTAACCATAGGTGTAATTGCTGGATCCCCCAAACCCTCAAGAGCTGGCAGAGGTCCTGGAGCGTTAGATCAGCATTTTGGCCCCTCAAGGAAGGTGCTTTGATGCCGGCGAGGGGATCATGATCCAAGGAATTTTACCCATTTCCTTGGATCAAACCTGATTTCCTCTTATTCTTCCAGGTACAGTATGACTCCTATGGGTTTAGCACTTCCATGCGGGGAGTATAAAAACACTCGAAACTCTCACTCTGTAGAGACCAAGAGTTTTAGCACAACACGCAAGAATTCCAGCACCTGTAGTTCAACAACAAAAGGCTCAAGAGCTGTAGATTAACACCTTTAAGAAGACCATGAACTGAAATATAATCCGAATCTTCCTCTATGAAACATGCATCATTGAAGGTTTGAAACCCATCGGTAGAGGCGTTCTCCGTTTATCACTTACCTTTGATATACCTCTGAGTTTTGATAGTTTTTTCTACTCTCGGAGCCCGGTCATGGGCCAGGCTCGTCTGCTGCTAACCTGGTCAATATCTTAATATCGTTGGTATTCCTCACGTAACTGGGATTTGCACTGCCCACTAATATACTTTTTCCTTTAAGAAAAATACACCAGCAAAGACAGTTTGAAGCCGATCGTATAAGTCATTCTCAATTTCTCTCTCGAAAAAAAAGTGCTGTAGAATTTTTTTGATAAAATTGGCACTTAACCCTTCCAATAACAGTCTAACCTTACACAAATAACCGGAACATAGAGAGAGAGAGAGAGAGAGAGAGAGAGAGAGAGAGAGAGAGAGAGAGAGAGAGAGAGAGAGAGACAAAGAAAGCAAAAGCAAGCAAGCAAGCAAGCAAGCAAGCTAGCTAGCTAGCTAGCTTACGACGACGTCGTTTCGGTCCGATTTGGACCATTTACAAAGTCACAATGTGACTGTAAATGGCCCATGTCGGACCGAAACATCGTCGTAAGCGTCTCTCTTTATGCGGGTTATTTGTATATTGTTCCAGTCACGGTATTGTGACTTTTTATTCTTTATAATTTAGCCTTTCCTCTAATTAGTATACATCATGGTTGAAAGCTTGGAGAGGATCAGTATAGGCGTCCCCGTAACGCAGGGAGACGCGTCTAGGTAAACCACAAGGTAAGCCACAGCCTTATTTTAAATTACCGGCTTTTGCATGGCCGGGCAAAAATGTGATAACCCTTAGTCTAGTGAAGCTGGACGGTCATCATCCCTCATGGAGACTTGGTCTTCAAGAGTGCTGGTCTAACACATTATATCAGGGGAACCAGTAGACTGATCTTGTACATGGATGGTATATAACATCTGGGTATCTTTATTTGTAGACGTTTCGCCAGCCAGTGGCTTCATCAATACAATACAAGGACATAATGTTAAGACTGTAGAACTGTATACAAAAGATGAGGTAGTCAGTCCCTCAACCAGGGATGTGGTGAATAGCACCGGTGATCTTCACCATCTTCAAGGCTGACGGACTGATTACCTCAATCTCCCCATCTTCCACCTTGAATATCAAAATGGTATACAATATCGACAGGTTGGTAGGTAAGACACATATGCAACATTTAGGCAACTTTATTCCGAAATGTTTCGCCTACACAGTAGGCTTCTTCAATCGAGTACAGAAAGTAGGCAGGAGCAGTAGAGATGTGAAGACGATGTAATCAGTCCATCACCCTTGAAGTCGTAGATTTGAGGTTGTCAGTCCCTCAGCCTGGAGAAGTCTCAACACTGTCGCTTGATCTTCAGTTAGTTCCAGACTTTGGAACAGAACTTCTCCTGACTGAGGGACTGACAACCTCAAATCTACGACTTCAAGGGTGATGGACTGATTACATCGTCTTCACATCTCTACTGCTCCTGCTTACTTTCTGTACTCGACTGAAGAAGCCTACTGTGTAGGCGAAATGTTTCGGAATAAAGTTGCCTAAATGTTGCCTTCCACCTTCCTCTGCATTGGACTAAAGAAGCCACTGGCTGGCGAAACGTTTCCAGAATTAAAATACCCAAATGTTGCCCACTTGTCTCATCATCACAATATACCAGTGTTGAAGATGTGAAGTTGATCAGAAGAGACGTTCTCAAATTATAGAGAAAACATTAGGAAGGAAACGAATCTGGCAAGTACCATGACTCTGCTTTTTGGATACCAAGAAAAAGTTGACAGATCATGACAATAATAGTAAATAATGACTAATGGAGAATGTGGCTGTTAGGCTTTAATCCCAGCGAATGTAAACTTATTAAAATTAGGGAAGAAAGTCAGCCGAAAATAGAGTATAGGCTTGGAGGACAAAGGCTGCAAACCTTGAGTCTAACATCCATCAATGGGTCCAAGACGTGTGTGTGCGACACCTAGAATTTTAATTCACATTTGTCTCGAGACCTAAATGATACTTGCATTTAGCACCTCTAACACATCCTTTCCCCTTTCTCCCCTTTCTTCATTTCCCCTTTCCTCCATTTCAACTTCTTCCCCAGCAAATCGTCGTTAAGTGACGTAATCAGCAACGCTCGTTACAAATCTGGCAACCAAAACTATTAAACACATTTTCAAGGTAAAACAACTATATCACAATAAGATCACACATACGTTGCAAGTATCGCCAAATGCCAGGTCAACCAGGCTGTGATGGATATGTGGGCCAGTAAGGCACCAGCAGCAACTGCCTGCTGGACCAGGCAGTGACGGGCCTCAGGGCGCGCAGCTAGGGATGTAAAAACCCTCGAAACCAGTCACAGATATGGCACTGGTGTGCGCTGAAACATGCATTAAAATCCGAGACTGAACCTATTATTGCAGATAGCGTTAGAGCTAGAGAGAGCGAGCGATAGAGAGAGTTAGAGCTAGAGAGAGCGAGCGATAGAGAGAGTTAGAGCTAGAGAGAGCGAGCGATAGAGAGCATACGAGGTGCGTTAATGCCAGGTTTGTTTACGTACAGTTACTACAAAGGAATTCACTCTTTACGAAGTTTTGGCGTATCATCATCTCTTTTCATGTGTAATACTGTCACACTGGTAATGTTGTGTGTATACTCACCTGTATATGGTTGCAGGGGTCGAGTCCTGACGTTGTGTGTGTGTGTGTGTACTCGCCTATTTGTGGTTGCAGGGTCGAGTCCTAGCTCCTGGCCCTGCCTCTTAACTGGTTGCTACTGGGTCCTCTCTCTTCCTACTCCATGTGCTTTATCAAACCTCGTCTTAAAGCTATGTATGGTTCCCGCCTCCACTACTTCACTTTCTAGGCTATTCCACTGCCTGACAACTCTGAGTGAAGAAATACTTCCTAACATCCCTTTGACTCATATGAGTCTTCAACTTCCAATTGTGACCTCTTGTTTCTGTGTTCCCTCCCTGGAACATCCTGTCTTTGTCCACCTTGTCTATTCTGCGCAGTATTTTATATGTCGTTATTATGTCTCCTCTATCCCTCCTGTCCTCCAGTGCCGTCAGGCCGATTTCCCTTAACCTTTCTTCATAGGACATTCCCCTTAGCTCTGGAACTAATCTTGTCGCAAACCTTTGCACTTTCTCTAATTTCTTGACGTGCTTGATCAAGTGCGGGTTCCAAACAGGTGCTGCATACTCCAGTATGGGCCTGACGTACACCGTGTACAGTATCTTGAACGATTCCTTACTAAGGTATCGGAACGCTGTTCTCGGGTTTGCCAGGCGCCCATATGCTGCAGCAGTTATCTGGTTGATGTGTGCTTCCTGAGACATGCTCGGTGTTATACTCACCCCAAGATCTTTCTCTTTGAGCGAGGTTTGCAGTCTTTGGCCACCTAGCCTATACTCCGTCTGCGGTCTTCTGTGCCCTTCCCCGATCTTAATGACTTTGCATTTGGCGGGGTTAAATTCGAGAAGCCAGTTGCTGGACCAGGTGTCCAGTCTGTCCAGGTCTCTTTGAAGTCCTGCCTGATCCTCATCTGATTTAATTCTCCTCATTAACTTCACATCTGCGAACAGGGACACTTCTGAGTCTAACCCTTCCATAATGTCGTTCACATATACTAAAAATGGCACTGGTCCTAGGATC